TTTACTAACATGAAATGCAGACACTGACTCTGACAGTCTGACAGCACATTTGATCTTTATTTCCAGTGAGAGAGAGAGAGAGAGAGAGAGAGAGAGATAGATACAAAGCAGCCCAGAAAGCACAGATAGAATATAGATATGTTTTATACTGCATACATTAACTCTTATTAACTTTATTTTCTTTGCAGGGTCAGATGGGTCACTTGACAAGCAATCTGACGACTCTGGCGTCAACTGTAAGTATCTCTGTTGACTGATGAAATGTAGCTAATACAGGGAGAGAGAGCGGTGTTGAATCAGCGTATGTAGCATGCTCTGTAGCCATTCAGCTATTTTGATGTTCCAGTTTTTGTTTGTATTTTTATATATTAGTGCGGGGCAATGATTACAATATTTAATTGCATTTTTTCACATGATTTTCCTCTGCTACGCAAAATTCAATAATGAATTCAAAAGTAGTGTATTGCACACTTGTATTTTAACAGTACTGCTATATGAATAAAAGTGCAATAGCAGTCTCTCAACAGCAGCTCCACTGGTGGCTCCGTTAAGTATCTTTGTAGACTGATTGACAGATTTCACTGAGCAGCTTGAGGATTACTGGGCAGCTGTGATGTGTAATAACCAGATTGGCATTGGTATTAGCAGATAATCAATATTTAAGGATTGGGATCAGGACCAAAAAAAACTGGATCATTGTTGGTTTTGATCTTTTCATGTAATATATAAACTGTACCACCCGGGGCCCCATTCACCGATATGCATAAAAATTGGCAGACGTGTAGATCTTATACCAGACAAACAAAAAATCCAGTGGGCGCCATATCCCAAACCCAACAGGAAGTCGGCCATTTTGGTTTTACAGCCATTTTTGGGGATTTGCACACATTGTATTTGAACGAACTCCTCCTAAGGAATTTATCACTTGACTTCAGATTTGGACCCAGCCATCTAAAGACATTCACAAATAAAAGTTGGACTATTTACGACATTCCGTGGAACGGCGTGCCTGTGGCGGGACATGGAATTTCAACGACTCGCCATAAAAGAGGGATTTGTCATAACTTCTGCGTACATGATCCGATCTCACTGAAACTTCACGTTTGATAAAAGTCCCGCCTCGAACACATCTATGTGATAATATTCAGTAATAGTGAGAGCGCCACCTAGTGGTAAAAGGA